AGAGTTTACGCAGAAGTTGACAGAACTAGCTTAACAATTGACACAGAATCCATTCAATATTGCTTATATATATATATATATATATATAGAGAGAGAGAGAGAGAGAGAGAGAGGGAGAGAGAGAGAGAGAGAGAGAGAGTTTAAGCACAAGTTGACAGAACTAGCTCAACAATTGACAGAGAATCCATTCGATATTGCTTAGACCACTTCAGATCCTTTTGTGTTGTCTGCTTTGCCACACATGTTCTTGAACGTGTCCTGGCTTCCTCCTATTTCTTTTCCAGGAGCCACAAAAGAGGCCTCTTCAGGACTCATCGTTTCCTTCTCTTGGTCTCTTTCTTTGCCCCAGAGCACCGAGTACAGTCCGATGATGACAACTATTCCCCCTATGATGCTACAGCAGGGAAGAAGACAACAATTTGAGCTCAGAACAAATGGAACTTGAAGGAAGCATTTGAGTGTTTAGTTTGTACCTTCCCAGAAACAATCTTTCACCGAAAACAAAATATGCTAGAAGTGCAACCATTATCGTGGAGAGAGGATTGAACATGGTGACAAAAACCGGTCCTTTTGCCTCGGTGCACCATAGTTGTATGTAGATTATTAACCCAGAACATACGACTCCCTGAAACCGAGTCGACAAACGCATAAGTATTCTGTACTGAAGGATGAGCAGACGTAGTCATGGAAACTTGGACTTACAGCATATAAGATACTCCATAGTTTGACATCTAATCCGATCTTCCACGCTGCTGGTTTATGCTCTACAAATGCTGTAAAAATAGCTGACTGTGCCGCCCCGATGAAGCTCATCCACGTAGTAAGAGAAAGTTGTGCCGGATATCGTTTTAATGTGATCGCCTGTAGATAGAAGCAACGATTACAATGTTCTTTGGCTGAGAGGAGATCAGAGGAGATCAGTACCTGCATGATATACCACATGGACCATGTGATGCAGCTTGTGATTGTAAGAATGGATCCTTTTAGCCAACTCTCATGGATGCCATTTCCATGGATTTGAATCAGAGGTCCCCAGAAGTTCTTCATGGTTGGCCCTTTGTACAGCGTCATGGTTGTAACACCTGCCAACGACACGATGGTTCCGACAGTCTTCGCCACACCTCTTGGACTCCGGAGATAAAGATGCTCCATTCTAGACCAAAGAGACGGGCATCGGAGCAATGAGTTGAGCATTTGATCGTGAGACTGTTCGCAGCCAAAATGCGTGAGTACCTGAGCAGAACGGCGATGACAAAGGTCATGGCAGCAATGGTGTTGACCATGGAAGCGACGAAGGTCGGGGAGGTGTACTTTAAGCTCGCGAAGTACATGTTTAGAGTTAGGCTGACCCTGTAGAATGAGAAGATAACCATGAGACGAGGTATTGGCAGCATTTGAACTACATGCATAAGATGTTGTTTCTTCTCACCCCAGAAAGGAAAGGGCACATATCTCCAGAAACAATTTCCATGTGAGCTTTGGCCGTAATTTTCTGCGACAAGGAACAGGAGAACGCATGAGAAACTGTCTCAGGTAATGGTGATGGATGTTGTATGTAATTAAATGGCATGTACCTCTCGAGGAAGTAAGCAAAAGGCCACATGACCAAGGCACCAACGATATGTCTGTAAGTGATGTAGACATGGGGATTCAATCCCTGGTTGAAAGAGGCTTCCGTGATGAAGTAGAGAATGGTGTAACCTATCTGTGCCATGGTCATCAGAAGGTGTGGCTTAAAACTCCTGCATGCCCCTCCGACTTGTGCCATGGCTGCTGAGCAGAGCACTTGTCTCTTCTCTGCTGCTGCCCTGGTTTTCTAAACAGGATGACAAGTGAAGGTTGCAGCGTACGCCTATAAATAAACGGGCGCATCTCCTGTGATTCTTCTTGCATGTCGGTCGCATCGAATTCTTCCATCACCCATCACTTGAATAGAAAAGAGAAAAGAGATCATCACAAGGCCAGCCCTTTAGTGGGATCACCACTCATTACGCACAATCTTTGCTACGTTTGTTTCTTATTTCTGTGGCTGAAGGACTGCTGCACTTCTATCAGTGTCTCAACGTGGCATTAGAATCCCTGGAGAAGCGTGCACCTTATCGGCCAGTTGTTCTGAGGAGTCCACTTCGCTGCACTTCTGCCAAAGGTGCATGGACCTGCAAATGCTTGGTGGTGACTAAGCCTATCAGAGTATATTTCTTCATTCATTTGTGCAGCCAAGAAGCATCACCAGTGGGATCAGGGGAATGCTGCAACTTCTGGTGTATCACCAGAACGCATCAGCATCATAGGCTGCAAGAGGCATTCCCCATAACCATTATATTCCATTCGAGTTGCGTCACTGCCGAAGCAGGGATTCTTCGCACCAGGAAAAGCTTGGCCGTAAGCTTCCAAGGTTTACCAAGGGAATCGGCCTACATGTACTACTAAGAACCATGGCAATGGCCAGCTTGCTTCTCAGGTGACATTGACGGTAAGTGTATCATCTTTCGGTCCTTGGATAGGTCAGCTAAGTGGATGTTTGATGCAACGGAAATGATGCTGGTATATATCCATGCATTGGATCAATTGGATAGAACAGGATGCCAAATTGTCTGACAACAGTGGGTGTGGGTATCGGTTGTTCTTCCTTTAGATTCACATAGTATAGATCATGTCTTAAATGACTTCAATCGTAGATAGAATGCTAAGAACAGAGACAGCTTGCGACTTGTGTGGTGGCAGAACAGGAATGAATTCCTTTGTCCTCCGCGAGAACATTCCAACATTGCAGGATTTGTTCTGCCCACCGATTCTAATGGCACCACCGCAAGCGACAAACACCTTTGGACGTGGAATGCTGGTGCTGATATGCTTAAACCAGTCACTGCTTCCACAAAAGTTGATTATCATTTCTGTACTTTGGTCACGCTAGATTTTTGAGTGCCTTGCTTGTATTTTTGACTGCCTTGGTCAACCAACACATGGTATGTTGGAGTAGTACTGCTGGGGGAGGGAGAGGAGGAAGAAGAGAAGGCGGTGAAGGAGGAGGAGATACCAGAGCATGCGACAGGCGGTAGGCGATGGGCGTGCGAAGGCGGCGGCGGACGTGCGAGCAGAAACCAACGGACGAGGGGCATACAAGCGATGGAGAGGAACGGTTATGAAGAAACCTTCCGGTTTTGGTAGTGGGTTGTTTCTTTTCTTTCGAGTTCGAAGACGGTTATGTAACGAAGCCGATTGGTCATCTCGATTTTAAGTGATACGTATCTTGTAAGGTCGATATATGTGGAGCTGATAACGAGCTTACACTACAAATATTATGCATTTATTTATCTAAAAATAAAAGAACGAAAAAGATCATTTATCATCGTCTCGATCGTCCGCATCGTTTGATAATTAACGAATCTTAAAGCACCCTGCAAGTAGAAAATCAAAGGTCCTGAAATGACGAATTGGCCAAGATCAGCCTGTCCTAATTACGGGTTTCACCCTTTATGAGAACATAAATTTAGCCAACTTCACAGAAATTGAATTCGAGCCAAAAAAAAAAACCAATTTGAATATATATATATATATGAAAAAATTTTAACTTTAAAAATTTTCGAGATAATACTCTAATTTTAAAAAATTCTCACGTAACATCCTTTTTTTTTTAATAACTATTCTATTCCTTTTTTTTAATAACAAGGGTTACATCAGAGAGAATGTCCAACCATTATCATTACATAGGGCTACAATAAATAGAGACTCAATCCTTATGTAGATTGTAGACAAAGAGAGATAACCAACCCTCAAATTAAGGGTGCAAGCAAAAAGAGCAACACTACATACACTGACTAAAGCAATAATGAGATGATAGAAACGATAATAGATTCAATAAAAGAATAGATAAAATAATTTTTTCACATGGTTAGAATAATTATTTTAAAATTTTTTAAAGTAAAAACATTCTATGAAAAATTTTGAAAAGTATGAGCATTTTTCGAGAATTTATTGTATATATATATATATATATATATATATATATATTACTA